CACTTCCGGCCTCCGTTTTACGACTCCGCCGACACATTTTTCACCGGACCGATCTCTGTCGATACACCGACCAAGATATTTCGAGAAATTAACTGTTTTCGACACGTGAAAAATGTCCCTACCTCGCGTATATATCACGTAACCGTACATCGCCGTTAATACGAAGAGACACGAAGATACACGACGATTGCGCGCGAATTAGTCGGCCATTGTGACGTCACGAATTGTTAAGACGCTGCTCAAACGTGTCGCTATTGTTATTCTATCCCTTATTCCAGGAATGTATCCGAGCGTGTTTCAAGGAAACTTGCAAACGAGGGCAAACAAACACAGCAATTTCCTTCTTTTCTATTGTTTCGAGTCGCGAAACGAAGAGTAGCGCGGGCCACGGGACGCCAAAGGAAACTTTCCACGGAATATTTCATGCGTGCGAGAAAATGTGAATGTTTAACAGCGTGTACGGCCACGGCTCGTGAAAGTTTACAACGCTCCGTGATGCGCTTGTTTTTACCGCGAATATAAATTTGTTTCATGTTACTTACGCGAAGTAAAACGACACCACACGACTGCTTTTACACGACACGAGCACCAGACGAGAAGAACGCAGTTCACTGTCTGTAAGACGTTCAAATTTGCAGCGCAGATGGCGCACTTGTCGCGGCTACAGTCACCGACGATTCAATTGAACGTTTAATACACGCAATTGCGTCGTTTGAAAAATATATTATCCGAATGGAAGAAACATCGATCGGACTTTTCGTCGTATTTTTCACATTCGCCAACGCGAAGTTCGTATCGGTGTTGTTATTTATGAATTTTTTAACAGTTCGTGCGAAATAAAATAGCAGCAACGTTGACTCTACGCGTAATTCCATAGGGCAGTACGGCTTTTCCGCGACGATCCTTTGACAGTATTTTGTCAAGTTGCGAATCAAAAGTGAAAATTAAACTTGTGAAGTGTTCATTTGAGCCTGGAGGGCTGTTCCCAGAGAGCTACTAACTTCTACGTGCAACGTCGTTCGGTGAGTTTCGAGCATAAATCTATTTCCCATCTGGATACGTGAAATTTCGTTAAAATGCATATTCTTCTGCACACCGTGACACGATTGCACTTTTCAAACGGCCGTTGTTAAGAAGGAAGCACTGCGCGAAATTATACGCTTGTCCTAAATTTATTACGTTCTTGTTATAAAATAAGGTAACCTCAAAAAATAGGTCGTTCGCGGTGCGCCCGGTCTGTGGTTCCGTTGCAACGAAACAGACTGTGAGAAATGGAAATTTCATTCACAATTCAACACGTTTAAACAGTCTCGTAAACCGGCGTATTTAAAAGCAATTTATCGATGTGTTATAAAAGCCCAACGAAAATGACGCTATTTGAAAAGAGTAATAGTGGACGGTTAAGAAAACGTGAGCGAACAGAATGGAATAATATTTCCATTTAGCCTCTGTTGCTCTTAAACTCGTTATATCTTCCTCCATCTCGTTCCTTTCAGCGAGATAATTATTATTCGCTATCGTGCACAGTACCTTTTCCTCTTTTCGGTACGATTCCGACGTAGCCTTAGAAACGAACGTTACCGACCTAACGAAGACGCGGGAAAAATAACAAATACCTCGAAATAAAAATTGCGGTGCAGCTTTGCAAAGGGTACGCATATTTAGCCGGCGCGATTCGAGAGAATGTGGGAAACGAACGACGGAGAAAAAGAATAAAAACGTGTGGCGCGTGCGCGCATGCGCACAAACGTACCGTACGAATTCCTACGTACGATCGTGTATTTCCGTGACCCAGATCGATTCGCGATTCGCGAAATAGCCCCTCATCGATCATGGTCGAGCGTTCAAGCCTCTCGAAGAATTCTTTCTACGTTCAAATATCTTCCATGTCGTTCCAACCTTCTTTCTTCGAACTAGCTAAATTACATCGCTACCGGGAACGATCTTTCCCGTAATCCTGTTGTAATTACAATTACGTAACGAGAATATTTATACCGGCAACGACATTCCTTATTCCCTGGCGTATCAGCGGTAAAGCACGAGGACAGCCCGCGTATTGAACCGATATCCGACAGCGGTAACAAGGGGAGAGTAAGTGAGAGGGAGGTACGCGGCGCGTAACACGTAACGCGTAATCGCGAGTTATACCGTTACATTAATTTCATGACTTACGGACCACGTCCATGAAATTGCGATTAATCGTGATTTACGCCACGCGTCTAAAGCGGCTATTGCACAGGATTCTGAATACGCCAGGCTTGGTTATTCTTCGTCGTGCAATAAGGAAAAATCCACGGACAATGGGGGGCATTATTCGTGGAACTGGTGTATATATAACGTCGCTTAACAGAACTAGCGTTTGATAATATTGCTAATATTCCGGACGCTGCGCGGCGTTGTAACGCGATATTGTCGCGCTCGTATGACCCCTGTTATTATCAGCGATGCGCTAATACAATCCGCAGAGTAATTCCGGTGGACTCAGTTAATTGCCGCGCGGCACCGCCGAATTTGATACGATAAATTTGGCGGATCTTGGGGCACGATCACCTTCCCAAATTCGCCACTTTGCATCGGCAGGGATCTGGAATTCGAGAACTCGGTCTCGAGGGTCTCAGGTGGCTGTAATCACCTGGCGCATAGCGCTCGTGTTTCCCAATCTCCGTGATACCGTAGAAGTTTCTTTAAATTGTAGAATTTATCGGAAAACACAGAGAGAGATAGAGAGAGAGAGAGAGAAATAGGTGTGTAGCGAGAGAACGGGACACGCGGAAGGCGAGAAAGAAAGAAACGACGTGGAGAACAGACGCGCGAGAAACGGTGGAACAAAGTGGCGTGGAATAACTCGAACGACGGCGATACCGAGCAAACACACAGCCGGAATCGATACGAGACCGGAGTGTATTCGTCGCGAAAGAGTCTCATGGCCAGATCGAGCGTTTTATTTTCAAGAGAATGAAACAGACCACGAGAGAACCTACTAGCCGAAGAGAGAAAGAGGGAGAGAGTGAGTAAGCGAGGGAGGGAAAACGAGCAACACGCGAGCGTTACGAAACGATAAAGCATTGCCACGGATACAGCCATAATCCAGTTCGCCGGCATATTGACGAACCCGCTCGGATAGTAATGCGTTACGAGTGGCTAGATAGGGAGGCGCGTAATGTGTAATCGCGCGACGCATTATGATTCACGATCGCACGCAACCACGATAAAGTCCAGCTGTGCAGGCGCACGCGTATGCACGGCCACCTGGTCCAGCTTGGCTTGTTCCCGTTTCCATCCACGATGGAAAATCAACGCTAGCAGGCTGTAATAGTAGCCTGCGGCGAGAAGATGCTCGTCAACCGGAGCAAATGTTGCCAGGGGAATTGGTCGATCTTCGTCTTCCGCTTGATTTTTCGTGGGATTTTAGGGCGTCTAATGGAAGATTAATCTCCTTTGACAGGAGTTTGTAGTCATTCTCCGGGGACGTTTCGGAGAGAATGGGATCGATAGACGAGGGTTAGGTTCTCTTTCTCAAAGATGCATGATTTTATCGTAGTTCAGTTACTACACTCGCGTTCATAAATATTAGGACACTTACCGAACGTTAAGCAAACCTGAATAGTCATTAGAAGATTCTTAAGATCCTAAAATGAATTACTCAGTCTGGAATCTCGTCGTATGAACTTTTGTTGAAAGTTTCGATT